TTTTTTATAAAATTTATTTTGGAAGTTTGAACTATAGGGACCATTTAAATATAAAGAAAATATTTGTGACTTAGATAAAGAGATTATTTGTAACTAATTCTTATAAAAACACTAATTTTATCTAAATAAGGACAAATATAAAAAAATACTTTAGATTTAGTTATATTAAATATAACTTATATAAGTCATTACATTGGTTATATATAATTTTTATTTATATAATTAATATTCCGTTAGACCAATTGTTGAATCTATTGTATTTATGTAAATATGTTTCAAATTTAAAATTAATTTGATATATGTAACTTTATAAAGAAAATAAACTATATTTTTATACTATTTATTTAGTGATTTTAAATTATAAGCTATTCAAAAATAGTTAAATATATTTAATTAATTTAAATTTTGACATGAATATTATAAATGGTATATGCATAAAATTAATGATTGATGTAAAAATTGATATCAATTATATCATATAAATTGATAAATGACTCAAAAAATTTTAAAATTTTGTCCCTCTAACATAAATTCTTGACTCCGTCCTTGGTTGCACGATAGTATTACGATAGTATTAACTATTTGGTTTAATTAATTTAAGGTTTACGTTAGAAGGTTGACATTAGAAAAATATTGTTTAATTTCATAATTGGAACAAGTTGCATCCAAGTAAAAGTGCAAATAATATGTTTTTTTATAGGTTTAGTCAATTAATGATTGATGTAAAAATTGATATAAATTATATCATATAAATTAATAAATGACTCAAAAAATTTTAAATTTTGTCCCTCTAACATAAATTCTTGACTATGTCCTTGGTTGCACAATAGTATTACGATAGTATTGACTATTTGGTTTAATTAATTTAAGGTTTACGTTATAAGGTTGACATTAGAAAAATATTGTTTAATTTCTTAATTGAAACAAGTTGCATCCAAGTAAAAGTGGAAATAATATGTTTTTTTATAGGTTTAGTCAATTAATGATTGATGTAAAAAATGATATAAATTATATTATATAAATTGATAAATGACTCAAAAAATTTAAAAATTGTCCCTCTAACATAAATTCTTAACTCCGTCCTTGGTAGTATGATAGTATTACGGTAGTTTTAACTATTTGATTTAATTGATTTAAGGTTTATGATAAAAGGTTGACATTAAAAAAATATTGTTTAATTTCTTAATTTGAACAAGTTGCATCTTAGTAAAAATGCAAATAATGTGTTTTTTTATAGATTTAGTCAATTAATGCTTTTGCATTTTTTTCCCAAAAGCCATTAAATTTTGTTTGTACGGATCTTGATAATGAAATGAAATGACACGGACCTTTCATAAAAGAGTTTTGTCGTAAGCAGCACGATTACCTATAATTTGATTAATTAATTAATTTAAAGTTTAAATTAGATGATTGAGCTTAGAAAAATATTATTTAATTTTTTAATTGTGATAAGTTGCATCCAAGTAAAGGCAAAAGCTTACTTTTGCTCCTTTTACCTTGTAAGTTTAAACATTTTAATTTTTTATTTTATATTATAATATTATTAATTTTATAAAAATTTAACAAAATAACCTTTATTTATAATTTCTGTTATATGTCCGTTACTTCTGCCACTTCTGTCACACCATCCATTAACTTTGTC